TACATTTCCAAAATACATAAGATAAAAAAAAGAATAAAATGAAATCTACGTACAGCAACAGTGTTTTCTGTTGTGTAGGTTCCGATGTGTAAGTCACGGGCCTAGCCCATCAGTGGACTACTATGGTGATACAGTAAAGATAAAGGTAAAGGGACCCCTGACCATTAGGTCCAGTCGCGGCTGACTCTGGGGTTGCGGTGCTCATCTCGCTTTATTGGCCGAGGGAGCCGGCGTACAGCTTCCGGGTCATGTGGCCAGCAGGACTAAGCCGCTTCTGGAGAACCAGAGCAGCGCACGGAAACACTGTTTACCTTCCCGCCGGAGCCGTACCTATTTATCTACTTGCACTTTGATGTGCTTTCGAACTGCTAGGTTGGCAGGAGCAGGGACCAAACAACAGGAGTTCACCCCGTCGCGGGAATTCGAACCGCCGACCTTCTGATCGGCAAGTCCTAGGCTCTGTGGTTTAACCCACAGCACCACCCGCGTTCCATGCCGCTGTAGTAGCCTACATAAATAACATCCCGGAGGGCCATTCTCTGCCACTTTCAAGGCCCGACAGGGTTTCTTCCAAGAGCACAAGGTTGCAAAATGCAGGCCCACAGGAAACTCCCCCAGAAATTTGAACCCTTCCCTTCATGCATTCAATCTAAAAGGTTAAATGCAATCATAAGTGAAACTGAAATGTTATTAAAACAAAAAATAGACACCTTGGGTCTCTAATTTCTATCTCAAGGGCAGTATGTTTCCGAGCACAATTTAAAGGTGCTGACCTTGAAAGCCCTAAACGGCCTCGGCCCAGTATCCCTGAAGGAGCGTCTCCAGCCCCATCGTTCTGCCCGGACACTGAGGTCCAGCTCCGAGGGCCTTCTGGCGGTTCCCTCGCTACGAGAAGCAAAGCTACAGGGAACCAGGCAGAGGGCCTTCTCGGTAGTGGCGCCCACCCTGTGGAACACCCTCCCATCAGGTGTCAAGGAGAGAAGGAACTATCTGACTTTTAGAAGACATCTGAAGCTTTTAATGTTTAATAGGTTATTGTATTATAGTGTTTTGTTGGAAGCCACACAGAGTGTTTGGGGAAACTCAGCCAGATGGGCGGGGTACAAATAAATCATAATAATAATTATTGTTGTTGTTGTTGTTAGCAAAGCTAACCCAACATAAAACTCTCCTTTCGCTTAAAAGGTAAAGGGGCCGCTGACCATTAGGTCCAGTCATGAATGACTCTGGGGTTGCAGCGCTCATCTCGCTTTACTGGCCGAGGGAGCCGGCATACAGCTTCAAGGTCATGTGGCCAGCAGGACTAAGCCGCTTCTGGCGAACTAGAGCAGCGCACGGAAAGGCCGTTTACCTTCCCGCTGGAGCGGTACCTATTTATCTACTTGCACCGGTGTGCTTTCAAACTGCTAGGTTGGCAGGAGCAGGGACCGAGCAACGGGAGCTCACCCCGTCAAGGGGATTCGAACCGCCGACCTTCTGATCAGCAAGCCCAAGAGGCTCAGTGGTTTAACCCACAGCGCCACCTGCGTCCCTTGTCTCCTTTCGCTTAACTTCCACCTAAAACTCTGTAAGGAAGAGGGGAAATGAAAAGAAAGAGTAAGACATCTTTGAAGGGTCTGGAAATCAAGCCTGATGAGGAACGGTTGAAGGAGTTGGGCATGTTTAGCCTGGAAAAGAAGAGATATGAGAGCCATCTTCGAATATCTTAAGGGCTGTCACAGGGAAGAGGGAGCAATCTTGTTTTCTCCTGCTCTGGAGGGTAGGACTCGAACCCATGGCTTTTTAAGTTTAAGTTTGATCTTTTATTGTGCTTTTAATATCCTGTTGCAAGCCGCCCAGAGTGACTAGGGAGGCCCGGTCAGATGGGCGGGGTATGTTGTTGTTGTTGAGTCATTTAGTCGTGTCCGCCTCTTCGTGACCCCCTGGACCAGAGCACACCAGGCACTCCTGTCTTCCACTGCCTCCCACGGTTTGGTCAAACTCATGCTGGTAGCTTCACGAACACTGTCCCACCATCTCGTCCTCTGTCGTCCCCTTCTCCTTGCGCCCTCCATCTTTCCCAACATCAGGGTCTTTTCCAGGGAGTCTTCTCTTCTCATGAGGTGGCCAAAGTCTTGGAGCCTCAACTTCAGGATCTGTCCTTCCAGTGAGCACTCAGGGCTGATTTCCTTCAGAATGGATCGGTTTGATCTTCTTGCAGTCCGTGGGACTCTCAAGAGTCTCCTCCAGCACCAGAATTCAAAAGCATCCATTCTTCGGCCATCAGCCTTCTTTATGGTCCATCGCTCACTTCCATACATCACTACTGGGAAAACCATAGCTTTAACTATACGGACCTTTGTTGGCAAGGTGATGTCTCTGCTTTTTAAGCTGCTGTCTAGGTTTGTCATTGCTTTTCTCCCAAGAAGCAGGCGTCTCTTAATTTCGTGACTTCTGTCACCATCTGCAGTGATCATGGAGCCCAAGAAGTAAAATCTCTCACTGCCTCCATTTCTTCCCCTTCTATTTGATGGGCGGGGTATAAGTAATAACATTATTATTATTATTATTATTATTAGTCCACCTAACCTGAGGTGTGGCTATACTGAATAGCAGCAGCTGTGGAGGAGTTCAGGCAGAGTCTTTCCCAGCACTACATAGAGATGACAAGGATTTCACCCTTCTGCATGCAAAGCAGGTGTTCTGAGGTGCAGCCCTGCTATATTCATAGACCTCCGAATAAAAGCCACATAGCACTGTAAGGATGGAGACAAACCCAACGGTGGCTGATGTTTTCACTTTTGGCAAAGGCCACCAGGTGGCGTCCCAGGGCTAGCGATGGATGGGGAAAGGTTTTCATCCTAGAACTGTACAATTGCAGAGTTCAAGGGGACCCCAGCGGTCATCCAGCCCAACCCCCTGCCATGCAAGAATCTCAGCTTAAAGCATCCATGGCAGATGGTCATCCAACCTCTGCTTAACAACATCCAAGGAAGGAGAGACCACCACTTCCCAAGGGAGAGCGTTCCACTGCCAAACAGCTCTTAACATCAGAAAAGTTATTCCTGATGTTTAGTCTCTTGTAACTTGGAAGCCACGGGTTCGAGTCCTACCCTCCAGAGCAGGAGAAAACAAGCCCGTGCGACAGCCCTTGAGATATTGGAAGATGGCTCTCATATCTCCTCTCAGTCTCTGCTTTTCCAGGCTAGACATACCCAGCTCCTTCAACCACTCTTCATAAGGCTTGGTTTGATCATTTTGGTTGCCTTCCTCTAATTATTATTATTATTATTATTATTATTATTATTATTTATTTATACCCCGCCCATCTGGCTGGGCTTTCCCAGCCACTCTGGGTAGCTTCCAAAAAAATATTAAAATACTGTAGTACATCAAACATTAAAAGCTTCCCTAAACAGGGCTGCCTTCAGACGTCTTCTAAAAGTCTGGTAGTTGTTCTCTTTGACATCTGGTGGGAGGGCGTTCCACAGGGAGGGCACCACCACCAAGAAGGCCCTTTGCCTGGTTCCCTGTAACCTCACTTCTCTCAATGAGGGAACCGCCAGAAGGCCCTCGGTGCTGGACCTCAGTGTCCGGGTAGAACGATGGGGGTGGAGACGCTCCTTCAGGTATACTGGACCGAGGCTGTTTAGGGCTTTCAAGGTCAGCACCAACACTTTGAATTGTGCTTGGAAACGTACTGGGAGCCAATGTAGGTCTTTCAAGACCGGTGTTATATGGTCTTGGAACACATATGGAACGCATATTGAACGCATGTTCCAGCTTGTCAGCATTCTTCTTAAATTGCGGGGGCCAGAACTGGACATGGAACTCCAGGTTGTGGTCTGACCAAAGCAGAAGACAGCAGCACTCTGACTTCCCTAGACTTCTGTTGACGCAGCCTAGAATAGCATTAGCCGTTTTTGTTGCTGCATCACACTGTTGACTCACAGTTGAGCTTGTGGTCTACCAAGACCCCCTAGACTATAGTTACCAGATTTTTTCCAATGAATCAAGGTACACTTTATTTTTTTATTTTTTTAAAGCTGAGTAGCAACAGGGAGTCAGTAGTTGGGATGGTGAGGCAAAAGACCCTGGGCCCAAGCACACATGCATATTGTATAAAGGTGCAAAGCCCTTCCTTCGCACCATGTGAAACATACTGTGTTATTTATTTTATAGTACAGTACATTGATTATTAGGGACGCGGGTGGCGCTGTGGGTTAAACCACAGAGCCTAGGACTTGCTGATCAGAAGGTCGGCGGTTCGGATCCCCGCGACGGGGTGAGCTCCCGTTGCTCGGTCCCTGCTCCTGACAACCTAGCAGTTCGAAAGCACACCAGTGCAAGGAGATAAATAGGTACCGCTTCAGCGGGAAGGTAAATGGCGTTTCTGTGCGCTGCTCTGGTTCGCCAGAAGCGGCTTAGTCCTGCTGGCCACATGACCCGGAAGCTGTACGCCGGCTCCCTCGGCCAGTAAAGCAAGATGAGCGCCGCAACCCCAAGTCGGTCACGACTGGACCTTTACCTTTTAATTTATGGACCTAATAGGTATCTCAAGCCATTTGCCCATGTTTCCATGCAACCAGTCCATGCAGAATGTAGGCACCCTATATATAGAAAGGAGCAAACCAGTGATGTTTTAGGGAGCAGGCTAGCAGGCGGGGCCCATGACGTACATCATAGAAGCCTACACAGCACAAAACACTGTTGCTGTAGGTCGGTTTTATTTTATTTGTTTTTTATCTCATATTTTGAAAATGTACATCCAATTGTTTTTTCCTTTAATTTTTTTAGGGCTCCCCAAGAGAGTGGGGCCCTAGGTTATAGCTTGTTTAGCTTATACGTAAATCCAGCACTGGACACAGCGTAGAAACAGAAGCTTTGTCCAACTCAGCTCTCGAAACCGAAAGCCTAGAGTCTCCTTTCTCCAGCTGCGAATGGCTTTGGCAAGTGGTAAAATGAGGACAGGCTTCTGAGACTGTTTCGGAAGGCTCTGGTGTGAGCTTCAGCTGTAGCTGATGATCTGTTTTTTTCGCCAGGGCTTTCCGGGAACCGGGGGGGGGGGGGGGTGAGGGGGTGTCCCCATAAAAGGAAGTAACCTTTCCTGTGTTCTGCCTCGGAAGAATGTGGTCAAACCAAATGCAAAACTCAGGAGGGTTTGCAAAAGAGGAACGTAACTCCAATGGTTAAGTGCTGGAGGGCAGGCAGATACGACAAATAAATATAAATAGCTACGGGAGACATCGCGGCCTCAATATCAAGCTTTCCCCTCATTCACTTTCTCACAAACTCTCTCACAGAATTGTAGAGTTCGAAGGGATCCCAAGAGCAACTTCGTCCTGTCCTTGGCAATGTAGAAAGTGCCCCCGATTCTTAGGAATTTGAAGAAGAAGTAAAAAACCCACACAATTTTGAAACCAGCGGTTAAAATCTGTTCCAGTTGACCCAGTCTGCCATACTGCTTCCAAATGGCGTCCGCTTTGTGATAGGAATTTTGAGGTCTTAGATATGGTAATGTTCATAAGTGTACCAACCAAGCACGTACAGTGGTACCTCGGGTTACATACGCTTCAGGTTACAGACTCCACTAACGCAGAAATAGTGCTTCAGGTTAAGAACTTTGCTTCAGGATGAGAACAGAAATCAGGCTCCGGCGGCGCGGCGGCAGCAGGAGGCCCCATTAGCTAAAGTGGTGCTTCAGGTTAAGAACAGTTTCAGGTTAAGAACGGACCTCCGGAACGAATTAAGTACCTAACCCGAGGTACCACTGTACATAGATCAGCACAGGAAGACCGACCTGGAACCATTTTGATTCCTAAACTGAGCAAATGTTTTCTCTGCAAGGTCAAAGTGGAAAAGCCTCCCCATTGTCACTTTCCTCACAAATCCTGTCTTAAGGGCACCTTTAAGATATGACTAGGGTGTGAGCCTGTGACCTGGCCCAGGAACTAAGTATTTATCACTACAAAAGAATGGCCAGGCTCCCCAGGCAATCCAATCAAGTAACCTGCCAGACAGGAGATAAACAAGGACAGGAGAAAAACAACATTCTAATTTCTGTTTAGACCTCCTTTTCTGTGATGTAGGTGTAATGTATCTGAGGGGTGGTCTTAGGTTACACCCCTTCTGTGATGTATGTATGATGTTTCTGGGGGTGATCTTGATCTACAGGGTGGCAATTTCAAAAGTCTTTATAAGGCCTTGCATGCCATTTTTCTGGGTTCCTCCTCCTTTCCTGCGGGTGAGGATAGCACCCGGTTGCAACAGCTTTAATAAAGATCAGGCTTAATAGCTGCTTTGCTTCTCAATATTCTCTGGTTGGCCTCTGTTATTCTCTCCTACCAATAGGGAACCTATGTAAGGACTCTATATGGGCTCTTGGATACCCCATAAGGGAAAAGGGCAATTTTTGGTTACAACCGCTTGGATCGAAACGAATAAAACAGTTCCCTGATCTCGGGAACCGATGTGCAAAACCTCCTTTATGCCATCTCTTTTTTGTATATATATGTTGTCGTTGTTTTGTCGTTTAGTCGTGTCCGACTCTTCGTGACCCCCTGGACCAGAGCACACCAGGCACTCCTGTCTTCCACTGCCTCCCGCAGTTTGGTCAAACTCATGCTGGTAGCTTCGAGAACACTGTCCCACCATCTCGTCCTCTGTTGTCCCCTTCTCCTTGTGCCCTCCATCTTTCCCAACATCAGGGTCTTTTCCAGGGGTCTTCTCTTCTCCTGAGGTGGCCAAAGTCTTGGAGCCTCAGCTTCAGGATCTGTCCTTCCGGTGAGCACTCAGGGCTGATTTCCTTCAGAATGGATCGGTTTGATCTTCTTGCAGTCCATGGGACTCTCAAGAGTCTCCTCCACCACCAGAATTCAAAAGCATCCATTCTCCGGCGATCAGCCTTCTTGATGGTCCAGCTCTCACTTCCATACATCACTACTGGGAAAACCAGAGCTTGAACTATACGGACCTTTGTTGGCAAGGTGATGTCTCTGCTTTTAAGATGCTGTCTAGGTTTGTCATTGCTTTTCTCCCAAGAAGCAGGCGTCTTTTAATTTCGTGGCTGCTGTCACCATCTGCAGTGATCATGGAGCCCAAGAAAGTAAAATCTCTCACTGCCTCCATTTCTTCCCCTTCTATTTGCCAGGAGGTGATGGGACCAGTGGCCATGATCTTTGTTTTTTTGATGTTGAGCTTCAGACCGTATTTTGCGCTCGTGTCTATATACCGTATTTTTTGCTCTATAAGACTCACCTTTTCCCTCCTAAAAAGTAAGGGGAAATGTGTGTGTGTCTTATGGTGCGAATGCAGGCTGCGCAGCTATCCCAGAAGCCAGAACAGCAAGAGGGATTGCTGCTTTCACTGCGCAGCGATACCTCTTGCTGTTCTGGCTTCTGAGATTCAGATATTTTTCTTCTTGTTTTCCTCCTCCAAAAACTAGGTGCGTCTTGTGGTCTGGTGCGTCTTATAGAGCGAAAAATACGGTATATTTTTTTTGTGTGTGTGTGTGTGTGTGTATATATATATATAATTTTCTGTTTTACAATTTAAAATACTCCACCTTAGCTCCTCCCCTCTATTGAACAGACTCCGCCTCTTGGACCACCAGCTCCCATCCTGGCCCCTTGGGCTCAGAACCCCCAAAACCGAAACCCCCCAATTCTTGGAGGGTGTCTGAACACTGCCTGGCTTGTCGGGTTGAGCAAGGCAAGGTTTCCCCAGAGCAAACTTTCCTTTCTGCTAGTATTTCCTCTCCTGCCTCCCGCCCCCCCCCCAAAGAGGGAAGTTAAGCTTCTCCTTTTTCCCTCCCCACAAGCGATGTCAAGAGTCCCGAGGCAGAAGGCAGACGTCCGAGATCTCTGCAGGAAGCAGGTAGGGCTGGGCTGTTTTGGGGGTTGGTTGAGGGGGCGCTAAGCACAGAATTGAGGGCCTCTCTGCCCTGGAGGGAGGTGGGGGGGTCAGTGCTGAAACTGTCAACATGTGAGCTGTTGAGTCAGGCCATTTGGGTCAGTGTGGTCGGCACGGACCGGCAACTGCTCTCCCGGGTTTCCCAGCTTGGCGGCGGTGGATGGACACCGCCAGCCAGGACCTAGAGGTGTCAGGATTCGAACCCAGGACTTCTCACGTGCAAAGGATGAGCTGTGATCCTTCCCACGAAGGCGTCCCAAGGCCCCAGTCCTCATGAACCCGAATAACCACAGAATCATAGAATCGTACTCCAGCTTGCTGTAGGGCAGGAATCTCAGCTTAAAGCATCCGTGGCAGACGGCCGTCCGACGTCTGCTTAAAAACCTCCAAGGAAGGAGAGTCCTGGGTCCTCCAGAGCAGGAGCAAACAAGCTTGCTTCCTCTTCCGTGTGACAGTCCTTGAGATATTTGAAAAGGGCTCTCATATCTCCTCTTTCCTGGGAGAAACATACCCAGCTCCTTCAACCGTTCCTCATCAGACTTGGTTTCCTGACCCTTGGCCACCCTCCTATGCACGCTTTCCTGCTTGTCCGTACCCTTCTTAAAATGGGGCGCACAGAACTGGACACAGTATTCCAGGTGTGGTCTGACCAAGGCAGAACTGAGAGGGACTTTTACTTCGCGCTGGTGCAAACAGAGGACTCTGTCTTATCAGTCTTTCAGCAGCGCCAGGGATGGGCGTAGCCTGGAGAGAGATTCAAGGGCCAGGGAGAGGAGTTTGAGGGCCAAATCCAGCACCCACCGCTGCCTTAAGAGTATGAGATACACCTTCCTGTAACAGGTCCTCATCGCAGGCAGCAAATGTCGCGCTCTCCTGTGATTGCTAGACGCATCTCCCATTGGCCCCGGCCTCACGCCAAGGCTTCTGGGAGTTGTTTATTACTATTATTATTAATTTTTATTTTACAAGGTTGCTAATTGCACTTCCCCAGATGTTAACCTATTACAGCCTTTGTAAGAATGGATTCCAAGTATCATTGAATTTGTCCATGTTTATCTGTTGTTCAGGGACGCGGGTGGCGCTGTGGGTTAAACCACAGAGCCTAGGACTTGCCGATCAGAAGTTCAGTGGTTCGAATCCCCATGACGGGGTGAGCTCCCATTGCTCGGTCCCTGCTCCTGCCAACCTAGCAGTTTGAAAGCACCTCAAAGTGCAAGTAGATCAGTAGGTACCACTCCGGCAGGAAGGTAAATGGCGTTTCCGTGCGCTGCTCTGGTTCGCCAGAAGCGGCTTAGTCCTGCTGGCCACATGACCCGGAAGCTGTACGCCAGCTCCCTCAGTCAATAAAGCGAGATGAGCGCCGCAACCCCAGAGTCGGCCACGACTGGACCTAATGGTCAGGGGTCCCTTTACCTTTACTTTATATGTTGTTCATATGTTGTATGTTTGTATAAGTATTCGATCCAGTCGTAGAAGGGAGCCGCATTTTTATTTTCCCAATTCAACATGATCAGCCTTTTGGGCCGTGGTTAAGGAAGGCATAGACAACCTTCGTCCCTCCAGATGTTTTGGTTTTTTTTAATTTTTAAAAATTAATTTTCACAAAATTATAAACAAAACAAACAGATAAACAAACAAGCATAGATCATAACCTTATTGAAATCACACTTATTAACATTGCTAAGTGACTTCCTCGCTTCCCCTTGGTTGAATTTCCATACACTTCCTTTTAACGGTTTTCTAAATCAAAGCTCTTATGACATTTCACTTGAACATTAACATCCTTATATCCTTTAATTTTAAAATTAAACATATCGATTCATCACTTAACTTATATAAAATCCTAAGCCAATTAAATACCTGCAAGCTATTTCCAATTAATTTAATTTTACATGTTTAAATAAATAAATTAAATTTTGTCCATTCTTCCTTATACTCCTCCTTCTGGTCACGGACTCTTCCGGTTAGGTCTGCTAGCTCCGAAAACTCCATCATCTCCATCTGCCGGCCCTCCAGATGTTTTGGACTACAATTTCCATCATCCCTGACCACTGGTCCTATTAGCTAGGGATCATGGGAGTTGTAGTCCTAAAACATCTGGAGGGCCGAAGGTTGCCTATGCCTGGGTTAAAGACACGGAGAGTCCATTTGTATCGTCCTTTTCGTAAGGTTCCACGTGCTGGGCATACAATTCAAGAGGATATTTTGCTCTGTAAATGTAAGGCTGTTCCGTACGGTTCTGTGGACGGTTTCAGTTACCTTCTGCCGAAAATCTTTCAATACAGCGGTACCTCGGGTTAAGTACTTAATTCGTTCCAGAGGTCTGTACTTAAGCTGAAACTGTCCTTAACCTGAAGCAGCTTTAGCTAATGGGGCCTCCTGCTGCTGCCGCGCCACCGGAACACGATTTCTGTTCTCATCCTGAAGCAAAGTTCTTAACCCAAGGTATTATTTCTGGGTTAGCGAGTCTGTAACCTGAAGCATATGTAACCCGAGGGAGCTAAAAGCCAATGGATCCTCAGGAATTTTGCATTGGGTCACCCCAAATTTACCATCAGATCACATAGCATGTCCATGGCTATAGCCTGCACCAAAAAAACCACGCACCCACTGTTGCGTGGGGCCGCAATGGCGCAAAAACGCAGTTACAAAGCACAGATCCGCATGGATCCTCAGGGTTTTTGCATTGGGCTACCCCAAACTCACCGTCAAACCACGTCTATGGCCACAGCATGAACCACAAAAATCATACATCCGCTGTTTCGTTCAGAATATTTGTTTTCTTGTTTTCCTTCTCTAAAAACTAGGTGCGTCTTATGGTCAGGTGTGTCTTATAGAGCGAAAAATATGGTATCTTCCGTGATGCAGCTAAGATGTGTGAAGCAGGAACTGACCCAAGTTGTCTCCACGCTTGGGCCCGATCAGGGAGTGATGGGAAGGGGTCTTCACTGCCAACGGGACCCCTTGCCAACCTTTCCTTCCCCACATTCACCGCAGCCCCCTCTCCCTTTCCAAATCGTGTCTCTGCAGGATGTGGAGACTCCTGGCGACCGCCATCTTCTGCCTCCTCGCCCGGCCCGTGTACCCCAAGTGCCCTCTGCTCAACCAAACCCACCCACCGGAGAATCTGGCCCGGTTCTTCCGGGACTCTGCGGATACGCTGGCACTCGCCGGCTGCGGAATCCCTGAAATCCCTGACGACGCCACTTTGGGGCCCCGGGTGGAAGAGCTGGACTTGTCTGGGAACGACCTCCGAAGCTTGCCGGACGGTTTCCTGAGCCGCGCCGCCAAAGTGAAGAAGCTCCGCCTGTCGAACATCGGCCTGAGGGAGCTGCCTGCCCAGTTCTTCGCCAATGCGTCCGGGCTGCAGGAGCTGTGGCTGGAGAAAAACGACCTCCGCTGGGTGCCAACCGAAGCGTTCCACGGCTGCCTGGAGAAACTCGCCGTGGATTGCCAATGCCCTGTGTCCGAGAGCGTCCTGTCCTATTGCCAAAACTGCTCCGGCGACACCGACTGCCACTGCTTCATCTCGGAGGGCCAGGCCCGAAACGTGAGCGACTTCCACACCCAGCAGTGCCAAGGCATGCCCGGTTCGCTCTATGCTGCCATCGTGGTGCCCATCGTGGCTGTGGTCCTCCTCGCCGGACTAGCTTATTTCCTGATCCGGAGGAAGGGGGCAGCTGCCATCAGCCAGAACAAGAGGACCTCCTCTGCGTCGGAGGGAGTGCACGGGCAGCCGCGGTACATCAGCCACACCGGCCCGCAGGGCGAAGGCGGCCACGGCTGCCACGCCAACTACGAAAACATCGACCACGGGGCCGGAACCAGGCAAGGCAAACGGCGGGCCAGCAAGCCGTCGACAAGCAGGTAAGCTTTTTCTTTTTAAAAATGGTTTTATTTTTGCCTTCTTGGTTCCTGAAAACCTTAAGGAAGAATGGGGAATTTTTTATATATATACTCGCCAGAGTGGTGTATGATCTAGTTATCTCCCGCTTGGACTACTGCCATGTTCTCTACGTGGGGCTACCTTTGAAGGTGACCCGGAAACTACAACTAATCCAGAACGCGGCAGCTAGACTGGGGACTGGGAGCGGCCGTCGAGACCATATAACTCTGGTCTTGAAAGACCTACATTGGCTCCCAGGACGTTTCCGAGCACAATTCAAAGTGTTGGGGCTGACCTCTAAAGCCCTAAACGGCCTCGGCCCAGTACACCTGAAGGAGCGTCTCCACCCCCATCGTTCTGCCCAGACACTGAGGTCCAGCGCCGAGGGCCTTCTGGCAGTTCCCTCCCTGCGAGAAGCCAAGTTACAGGGAAGCAGGCAGAGGGCCTTCTCGGTGGTGGCGCCCTCCCTGTGGAACGCCCTCCCACCAGATGTCAAAGAGACAAATACCTACCAAACTTTTAGAAGACATCTGAAGGCAGCCCTGTTTAGGGAAGCTTTTAATGTTTAATAGGTTATTGTATTTTAGTGTTTTGTTGGAAGCCGCCCAGAGTGGCTGGGGAAACCCAGCCAGATGGGCGGGGTATAAATAATAATTTATTTATTTATTTAGGAGACCACTGCTGATGAAAAACATGTTGGGATGATTGACTCTGTGTGAAGCTGCACAGAATGGCACGTAGTGAAAAATCCCAACTTGTTTACTCTTAAGTAACCAAGTTACTAGTAGCAGCGTCTTGTTCCTGCTTCGTCCATCCTGCCTGCAACTGATTGTTTTCTGGAACTCTGCTTATGCTCTGCTGAGGTCTTGCTAAGCTCCTGCAACAGGTCAAAGCTGCAAAACAGCAATAAAACGTTAGCAGGATTTTAACATTTCTTGTAATGTAACAACCACTTTGGATAATACAGACAGGTACGAAACATAGATTATGAAATAATACACAGTTGCAAAGACCCATGGAAGGGTCTCGAGATTCAGAGAAATCTCTCTATACTGATGCGCATCTGGTATTGTTATAATTTTTTTATTTGAAAAACCAAATGAAAACGATTTCAAAAAATAAGTTAATTTATTGCTGAATGTTTCAATTTTGCAAACGTCACATAAAAACAGAAAGCAGATGGAGATAGCGGGCTTAATGGAAAATTCAATGTATTTTTAAAACTTTTTTTAAAAAGCATTTTCGCAGCGTTTTTAATATGGGTCTAGAAGGGGAAGAAATGGAGGCAGTGAGAGATTTTACTTTCTTGGGCTCCATGATCACTGCAGATGGTGACAGCAGCCATGAAATTAAAAGACGCCTGCTTCTTGGGAGAAAAGCAATGACAAACCTAGACAGCAGCTTAAAAAGCAGAGACATCACCTTGCCAACAAAGATCCGTATAGTCAAAGCCATGGTTTTCCCAGTAGTGATGTATGGAAGTGAGAGCTGGACCATCAAGAAGGCTGATGGCCGAAGAATGGATGCTTTTGAATTCTGGTGCTGGAGGAGACTCTTGAGAGTCCCATGGACTGCAAGAAGATCAAACCTCTCCATTCTGAAGGAAATCAGCCCTGAGTGCTGACTGGAAGGACAGATCCTGAAGCTGAGGCTCCAATATTTTGGGCCACCTCATGAGAAGAGAAGACTCCCTGGAAAAGACCCTGATGTTGGGAAAGATGGAGGACACAAGGAGAAGGGGACGACAGAGGACGAGATGGTGGGACAGTGTTCTCAAAGCTACCAGCATGAGTTTGACCAAACTGCGGGAGGCAGTGGAAGACAGGAGTGCCTGGCGTGTTCTGGTCTGTGGGGTCACCAAGAGGCGGACACGACTAAACGACTAAACAATGACAAAGCTTCCACCTGGGAGGCCCCCAAGGTCACATCCAGTGGGTTTGAATCTGGGGGGGCAGTGTCCTAGGGAACTGTCTCCCTGGTTTTGTCTATTTTCCTCTTGACTCAACTCCCAGGAACTTCTCCATTCTGGTCAAAACATGGCTTGCAAACTCGCCCATAGGTTCGGTTTTCCAAACTTGGGTCTCCAGCTTTTGATGGGACTACAACTCCCATCACCCCTAGCTAGCAGGACCAGTGGTCAGGGATGATGGGAACTGTAGTCAGAATACAGCTGGAGGGCCAAGTTTTGTGAGAACCTGATTTAGAAAGTGGAAGAGAGGTGTCAGCAGACCTTAACTCCGAAGTAGGAAGTCCATACTTCCTCCAAAACACTTCCCTCCAGCCCAGAGGTCAACCGAAGAGAAAAACCCAAATGCAAACTCTCTTAAAATGCTGACTATCAGCAATTTGGGCTGCGGCGCCGGCAGAGGAGCTGGCTTTGCAGAAGAAGCTGAGGCAGAAACGAGATTTCGCCTGCGGTTTTTAAATGAGCGGCAGGGATCTTCTTTGTGCTCCGTTTGCGGAGAAGCAGAAGGCAGCTGTCTTCTGAAAGCAAGAAGCAAAAAAAGGCAGCTGTCTTATTTGCACAGTGCGTCGCAGAGCGGCGGAACTCACTGCCACAGGAACCAGGGACGCCTGGCAACTCGGAGAGCTTTTAAAAAGGACCAGACCACATTCACGAAGGACCAAGGCTATCCATGGTCACTAGCCGCAGTTCCTCAGCTGCTGATGGCATGTGGGTCTTTGTTTCTTCTTTTTTTAATGTTTGATGTATTACAGTATTTTAATATTTTTTGGAAGCCGCCCAGAGTGGCTGGGGAAGCCCAGCCAGATGGGCAGGGTATAAATAAAAAATTATTATTATTATTATTATTAACACTAATAAACAACACATACAGAAAAACAAACAATGCAAACAAATTCTCGTCTTACCCTTCTTTTTTCTAAACATTGTTAAGTGAGCTTCCACAAGTTCCCCCTATCTGATTTTCATTTTACCTGATCTTTAGCAGTTTACATATACAGTGGTACCTCGGGTTACAGACACTTCAGGTTACAGACTCCGCTAACCCAGAAATAGTACCTCGGGTTAAAAACTTTGCTTCAGGATGAGAAGAGAAATCGTGCTCCGGCGGTGCGGCAGCAGCAGGAGGCCCCATTAGCTAAAGTGGTGCTTCAGGTTAAGAACAGTTTCAGGTTAAGAATGGACCTCGGAATGAATTAAGTACTTAACCCGAGGTACCACTGTATCATAATTTTTAACCATTTTTTAATCACACTTACTTTTACCATTAAAATCTTCACATGTTATCCCTTACAAATAATACTATTTTAAAATACACTATCTTCTAACCCTACAGCCTATATCCGCTTCCTAAGCTATTCTAAGATTTAAATATCAACATATATTTTTTCAGATATTCTTTAAACTTCTTCCAATCTTCTTCCACCGTCTCTTCTCTCTGGTCTGGGAATTTCCCAGTCAGTTCGGCAAGTTCCATATAGTCCATCTTCATCATAGCTGGTACATGTGGGTCTTACAAGAGCCATCTTGTTGGTCACTGTGAGGACAGGATACTGAGCTGTGATGAGCCCCCTTGGGCCTGATCCAGCTGCTTGTAGGGCTATCCTTAGTTTCCTTTTGTTGTTGTTGTTGAGTCATTTAGTTGTGTCCGCCTCTTCATGACCCCATGGACCAGAGCACGCCAGGCACTCCTGTATTCCACGGCCTCCTGCAGTTTGGTCAAACTCATGCTGGTCTCTTCGAGAACACTGTCCCACCATCTCGTCCTCTGCCGTCCCCTTCTCCTTGTGCCCTCCATCTTTCCCAGCATCAGGGTCTTTTCCAGGGAGGCTTCTCTTCTCATGAGGTGGCCCAAAATATTGGAGCCTCAGCTTCAGGATCTGTCCTTCCAGTGAGCACTCAGGGCTGATTTCCTTCAGAATGGAGAGGTTTGATCTTCTTGCAGTCCATGGGACTCTCAAGAGTCTCCTCCAGCACCAGAATTCAAAAGCATCAATTCTTCGGCGATCAGCCTTCTTGATGGTCCAGCTCTCACTTCCATACATCACGACTGGGAAAACCATGGCTTTAACTATACGGACCTTTGTCGGCAGGGTGATGTCTCTGCTTTTTAAGATGCTGTCCAGGTTTTGTCATTCCTTTCCTCCCAAGAAGCAGGCGTAATGGAGCCTCTATGACAGAGGAAGTCTACCTTAGAGTGGCAGAGAACAAGAGTGGGAGAAGTCAGTGGCTCCCACATCCTTGTGGGGCTTCTCATTTAGGGCATCTGTGAGGACAAGGATGCAGGATCCAGCGGGTCTCTTTTTAGATCCCCCGCTTTCAGAATTTGCACCCGAATTTTGCGATGTGAGCTCCCCAACCCACCAGCGGGCCCCCCAAAATAGCATATATTGTTGGGAGAGCAACCAAAATGCATATATCCCTGAAAATATCATGCAGCCCATCAGAGGAAATTGCGAAAACGTGTACCTGCTAGCAGAACTGTTCGTGTACAACAGTTGAATTTGGTGAATTTTCGCGATGATCTTTCGTTTCTTATTTTTGAAAATTGCAGTAGATTGGGGAAATGAGAGAAATGAACAGAAAGTGAAACTGCTTATAGAGGAATGTATTGAGAGGGAAAGGCACAGAGATGTTGAACGGCTGTCCGTTTTGGACGGGGCTAGGAGGTCACCCCAGGCTGTGCGTTGCGTAATCTGGTGGTGTCAGAAGAGGTGTAGGGGAACGAAAGCAGTGGATCTGCCCCCTGTACCTGCCCCCAACAGAGCAAACCGAGGGGCATCCATTGTGGTGGCAGAGAGCACCGTATTTTTCTCTCTATAAGACGCACCAGACCACAAGACGCACCTAGTTTTTGGAGGAGGAAAACAAGAAAAAAATATTCTGAATCTCAGAAGCCAGAGCAGCAAGAGGGATCGCTGCGCAGTGAAAGCAGCAATCCCTCTTGCTGTTCTGGTTTCTGGGATAGCTGCGCAGCCTGCATTCGCTCCATAAGACACACACACTTTCCCCCTTACTTTTAAGGAGGGGAAAAGGTGAGTCTTATAGAGCAAAAAATACGGCAATTTTTCTCTTCCACGGCTAGCAATTCCAATTGTCGCTGAGTCACGGAGACTCTTGGATGTTGAGACAGGATCTTGCGAGCCGGGCGTTTGTGCGCACCCGTTCCAAAGGTGGCGGGAGAGTCACACGCCCATCCCGAGACAGCTCACGCTCTTAGCTAATTTCCGATGGGGCAATTTTCTCGCTCTGAGCTGACAGGAAAAGATGTGGGGGGTTTTTTTGGGTGTGTGTGCAAATCCGCAGGGTGCAATGCAACCGCTTGTTCCAAGGAAACTGGGAGGGGCTGTAGCTCAGGGGAGGAGTGCTTGCTTGGCATGCAGAAGGCACCGGGTTCAAGCAGGTTGCCTCAAATTTCAGCAGTGACACCAAAATCAAGCCCCTTTCAGTTGCAGCACCCGCTGTGTTCCACCTGAGGCTCAGCCTCACCATTGGGAAAAGACTTTCAGGCTGAGACCCTCCCTGCCCACAGACTGTCTCACCAGAGTGGTGCATGTTCTGGTTATCTCCCGCTTGGACTACTGCAATGCGCTCTATGTAGGGCTACCTTTGAAGGTGACCCGGAAACTGCAATTAATCCAGAATGCGGCAGCTAGACAGGTGACTGGGAGTGGCTGCCGAGACCATATAACACCGGTCCTGAAAGACCTACATTGGATCCCAGTATGTTTCCAAGCACAATTCAAAGTGTTGGTGCTGACCTTCAAAGCCCTCAACGGCCTGGGTCCTGTATACCTGAAGGAGCGTCTCCACCCCCATCATCCAGCCCAGACACTGAGATCCAGTGCTGAGGGCCTTCTAGCGGTTCCCTCGCTGCGAGAAGTGAGGTTACAGGGAACCAGGCAGAGGGCCTTTTCGGTAGTGGCGCCCACCCTGTGGAATGCTCCCCTGTCAGATGTGAAGGAAATAAGTAGCTATCTTATCTTTAAAAGACATCTGAAGGCAGCCCTGTTTAGGGAAGTTTTTAATAAACCACAGAGCCTAGGACTTGCCAATCAGAAGGTCGGCAGTTCGAATCCCCGTGACGGGTTGAGCTCCCATTGCTCGGTCCCTGCTACTGCCCACCTAGCAGTTCGAAAGCACGTCAAAGTGCAAGTAGATAAATAGGTACCACTCCGGTGGGAAGGTAAACGGCGTTTCCGTGCGCTGCTCTGGTTCGCCAGAAGCGGCTTAGTCCTGCTGGCCACATGACCCGGAAGCTGTACGCCGGCTCCCTCGGCCAATAAAGCGAGATGAGCGCCGCAACGCCAGAGTCGGTCACGACTGGACCTAATGGTCAGGGGTTCCTTTACCTTTAACCTCTTCCCAACAATGTCTGGGAAACTGAACTGGGGAAACTGAACCAGGTACCGGAGCGGTACCTATTTATCCACTTGCACTTTGACGTGCTTTCGAACTGCTAGGTTGGCAGGAGCAGGGACCGAGCAACGGGAGCTGACCCTGTCGTGGGGATTCGAACCACCGACCTTCTGATCGGCAAGTCCTAGGCTCTGTGGTTTAACCCCCAGCGCCACCCGCGTCCCGCTGGGAAGAGGTTGCCCAAAACCCAAAAAAACCTGGAGAGCTGCTGTCAGTCAGTGTGGACAGCTAGATAGGGCAAGGTGAGCCAGTCTTTCTGATTGTGGTTGTGTCGAGAAGCGACAGAGCACACCGCCTGGGCGTGAAGTCAAACTGCTGCATTGGCAGTGCCAGTGACCTTCTCGGGGTGAAAGCCTGGGCAGTGTGCATGGAGGTCCTGGGCTGCCCAGATGACAAGATCCCCCTCTCGGTCTCAAAGATGGGGTCCGGAGGAAAGCAGAGCAAGACGTTTGGCACCCGCTTGGCTGCAGAAGTTGCCGGAAGGAGGCGTACAAGGCGCCATCCAACCGTCTTAGGGACTCCGCTCCAAATTTGTCTAGGACCACAGATATGGCCCCCCAAGCACATTTTGGAGAAATGCCGTCCCAGAAATTGCGGCCAACTCCTTTGCAGAATTTCAGTTTCCCATGGACCCCCTTGTCTTTCCTATGGCTCCTTTGCTTGCTTGGGAGCCAAGGGAAGTTTGGGAGCCAAGGGAAGTTGGAACTCGCTCTGCAGCAAAGGACCATGCAATTCATTTAAAAACAAACATTTGAAGTAGAAGAAAGGAAGGCGGTGGCTTAGGGAGGGAGGCACAAAAACAAAAACAAAACCCCACTCCTTTAATTTCTTCCTTTTGTCCACAGGATGAGCCCCGGGGCCCCCGATCCGGACGTCCCCCACGACGACCAGCCCGTCTATGCCAACACTCAGGATCTGTATTACAACTACACCGGGGGACCCCCCTCGGGAAACGCTGAGGAAGACATTTATATTGTTCCTGATCAGTGACCCACATAAAACCCCACACCGGCTGGCTCCCCACCCCATTGCATCTGATGGTTTTATGGCAAGTGGTGTATTCAATGCTTCTCTGGTGGAACACGCCCCCCCCTTCAATTCCTTCCTTCCTTCCTTCCTTCCTTCCTTCCTTCCTTCCTTCCTTTTCCCTCCCTCCCCCACCCCTCTCCTTCCTTCCTTCCTCCTCCCTCCCTTCTTCCCTCCCCTCCCCCCTCCCTCCTTCCTTCCTTCCTTCCTTCCTTCCTTCCTTCCTTCCTTCCTTCCTTCCTTCCTTCCTCCCTCCTCCTCCCTCCCTCCTTCCTTCCTTCTCCTTCCTTCCTTCCTTCCTTCCTTCCTTCCTTCTTCCCTTCCTTCCTTCCTTCCTTCCTTCCCTCCCTCCCTCTCCCCTCCCTCCCTCCCTCCCACCTTACTTCCTTCTCCCTCCCCCCTCTCCCCTCCCTTCCTTCATCCTCCTCCTCCTTCCTCCCTCCCTCTCTTTCTTTCTTTCTTTCTTTCTTTCTTCCCACCTTTAAACAGAACCTTGGAATGGCAAAGTTGTAAGGGGACCCCCAGAGTCCTCTAGCCCACCCCCCCGCAACGCAGGTCTCCCTGACGGTTGGCCATGCAACCTCTTTTTTTTGAAAACCTCCAAGGAAAGAGCCCACAACCCCCAGGAAGAGCTTTCTAACGCTTAAATCGGGATTCCTTCTCAAATCCGTTGCTTTGCATCCTGTGTGCTCAGTTCCCCTCTTTGGCCCACAGGGGGCAGCCTTCCCACGCTATCATGGGACCATCTCCGACATTGGAAGTGTAGATCTCTGTAAGCGAAGTGTCACGGAATTCCTCAGATTGGGACCCCGAGGGCGATGTAGCGCAACCCTGTGCGGTGCTGCACGAAGCGCAACTCTGCACTTGCGCATTTCATGATGCATTTGTGCTAGCGCATGGGCATCATTATTGAGGGGAAATGCGTGGAACATGTCTCGGTGTTTCGATTTCTGGGAATGGAGTTGAGAGATGACCTAACCTGGGGAGAAAACAACAAAGACCCGATGAAGAGAGCACAGCAGAGGTTATATTTTCCGGAAAAATAATCTCTCAGAGGACCTGTTGATGGCATTTTACCATTGTACTGTTGAAAGTGTATTAACTTATGTTCTGTGTGTGTGGTTTGGGAGCTGCATGGTCAGGGAAAAGAACAATGCTATCCAGGGTTGTAAAGGCTGCAGAGAGAATAATTGGGTGCACTCTTCCCACCTTGGATCAAATCTATGCTTCCAGGTGCCATCAGGAAGCTGCAGAGATAGCGCAGGAAAGTGCACACCCCGGAAATGATCTCTTTCAGCTTCTGCCTTCTGGAAGAAGGTGCAGGGTTATAAATACTAGGACTAGCCGTCTGAGAAACAGTTTCTATCCAAATGCAATTTTGGTTTTAAACGCAGGGTAAGGTAGTCTCTATGGGAGTATATTTAATTACGGGGTATCATAGCTTTTAGGGGGCTAACCAGGCTGGGATAGCTGGGATTAGCAGGCTTGTTGGTTTTTGAATGTCTGATGTAGATTTTTTCAATTCCGTTGTTCTGTATGGGACAATGACAATAAAGATTATCGTGTCATATTGTATCGATGCTCACGAGCTCTGCAAAAGAAGCACACACACACACACCACTGTTCCCCAATGATGTGTTTTTCTTGTTGTTGTTGTTTAGTTGTTTAGTTGTGTCCGACTCTTCCTGACCCCCTGGACCAGAGCACACCAGGCACTCCTGTCTTCCACTGCCTCCCGCAGTTTGGTCAAACTCATGCTGGTAGCTTTGAGAACACTGTCCCACCATCTTGTCCTCTGTCGTCCCCTTCTCCTTGTGCCCTCCATCTTTCCCAACATCAGGGTCTTTTCCAGGAGTCTTCTCTTCTCATGAGGTGGCCAAAGTATTGGAGCCTCAGCTTCAGGATCTGTCCTTCCAGTGAGCACTCAGGGCTGATTTCCTTCAGAATGGAGAGGTTTGATCTTCTTGCAGTCCATGGGACTCTCATGAGTCTCCTCCAGCACCAGAATTCAAAAGCATTAATTTTTCGGCGATCAGCCTTCTTTATGGTCCAGTTTTTCTTACTAGGGACCTAAAAGACTTGAGGGACCTGTTTCTCATGCAAAAGGCTGTAAATTTAGGCCAATTTTGGGGGTGGGTTTGACTTCACCCCTGGAGGTGTACTCCATTGTCTCTCGAGACAAACAGAGGCCGATCAAAGCAGCTCTGTGTTGCTTGCCCAGCAAAATTCTCCTGCCCCACAACTCTGAGGTCCCTGCAAAACTTGGGGAGCTTAAAGCAAAAAAAAAAAAAAAAGACAGTATAAACAGTACAACGAGAATGATTGGAAGGCTCGTTTCGTCAGAAGTCTTTTTTATTTAAGTGTTTAATTAAGCATTAATTAGGAAGATTAAGCGTTTTTTTACGTACGTAAATTTGCTTTATTTTCATTCTTTTTTCTGTATTTTCTTCTGAATTCTTTTTTCTTTAGTTTTCTTTTTGCAGTATGAGATTGTGAATTCTTTGCATAAGTGTGTAATTTAAATGGATAAAGATTATTTTAAGAAAATAAATAAATAAAGCGAAAGATGAGAAATCCCACACTCCTGACAACAGTTCTGCAGGCTGGGTTACACTTTGCAAGAGATGAGCTGCTAAGCAGGAAGCCTTTGCAAGAGGTCAGCTGTTCCAGGATCTTTCTTTCTTTCTCACTCTCTTTTAGGGACGCGGGTGGCGCTGTGGGTTAAACCACAGAGCCTAGGACTTGCCGATCAGACGGTTGGCGGTTCAAATTCCCGCAACGGGGTGAGCTCCCGTTGCTCGGTCCCTGATCCTGCCAACCTAGCAGTTCGAAAGCACATCCAAGTGCAAGTAGATAAATAGGTACCGCTCCGGCGGGAGGGTAAACAGCGTTTCCGTGCACTGCTCTGGTTCGCCAGAAGTGGCTTAGTCATGCTGGCCACATGACCCGGAAGCTGTACGCTGGCTCCTTCGGCCAGTAAAGCGAGATGAGCGCTGCAACCCCAGAGTCGGCCATGACTGGACCTTCTGATCGGCAAGCCCTAGGCTCTGTGGTTTAACCCACAGCGCCACCCGCGTCCCTTAGACGGGCTCTTAGATACTCCATAAGGGAAAGGGAGCAGTGTTTTTCTTATAATAAAACAAAGCAGGAATGCTCTCTCAAATGCACATGGTCAAAACAAGACTCAGCGGAATGGCACCTGAGGAATAGGGTGTGTGCGGCGGGGCTCACACAACAGGTGTCTCTCACCTGGCCTGCCGGAGGCAACATTCCACCCCTTCCCCAAATATGAGAAGCAGTCAGACACGGCCCCTATTTATCTTCCCATCACAGGCTCAGTTCCTAGAAATCCAGTGTGCCTACAGGGTGTTTGTTTCTGCAGAAACACCCTCCAGCGATCTCTGCCCTGCTGAACCTTATAATTTCTTGCAGGTGGGGCAGAGGGCATTCTTCCCTGTCCCTTGAGTGGTTTGGAGAAAAACAAACCGGGGCGATGGGTTCGGAGTGTCCGTTTTCCCCCGAGACCCCTCGGAAAGGCAGGGCTGTGTGGCGCAGTGGTTAGAGCAACTGCTTTGCAGGCAGGCAGACCACCCCGAGATAGCAACTCTGGGTCAGGCCACTGCTGCCAGTCCGTGCTAGGTAGGCCAGTCTCTTCCCACATTGCGATTTTAAATCGGGTTCATGAGGACTAGGATTCTGATTTATCGTTTGGCGAAGAAGGGCCAACTAAATCCGTAGGAGAGGCCCGTTTCCCCACTGCTGGTCTGGCGGCGGAGGAGATCCCACTTCTGCCACCATCTCTCTCGGGATGATGCAGCTATAGGGTCTCACGTGCCCACCAGCTCTGACCACTAGGCATGCTGGCCGGGGCTGATGGTAGTTGTGGTCCACAACATCGAGAGAGCACCAGGTCACTGACGCCTCGAACTCTATGCAAGGGCTTTCTTAAAGACACCAGGTTGGTCTATGCCATTTGGAGGGGCCCAGATGCGAATCTTGGTGGCAGGGCAGCCCTCCCCAGGGCGGGGAAGAGTTCCGTTTGCCCCCAAATGACAACAGGATAACCTGCCATTTGGCCTCCTCCTCGTGGTTAAAAAGAGGCAGTGCCGTGCAGTGGTTAGAGCGCCGGACTAGAACCTGGGAGATTGGGTTCGGATATCATGACGCTTGCTGGGTGACCTTGGGGGGGCCGCCGATCACTCCCCACTTGACCTTCTTTGCAGGGTCGTCCTGAGGATACGTGGGGGTGAGGAGAACAGTGGACACCTCCCTTGAGCTCCATAAGAAAATAATATAAAAGCAATACAGTGGTACCTTAGTTCTCAAACGCCTTGGTGCTCCAGCGACTGGGAAGCCAAACACTGCAAACCCGGAAGTAAGTGTTCCGGTTTGCGAACTTTTTTTGGAATCCGAACGTGCTCGGTTTTGAGTGCAACGCTTCCGTTTTGAGTGTTACCCTGAGGTCTGTCTGTTTTTGCTGTTTATTTTGCGTTTTTGCTTTCGCGGCTCTTTTTTTTTTTTAATATTTATTAAAGTTTCAAGAAATATAAAAAAAGAAAAAGAAAATTATACAGAGTACAACAAAAAAAGAAAAAAAAAGAAAATATACAGAGTACAGAATATAGCAAAAAATAGAGAATAAAAAGGAAACATACAAAATAAAACAATTAAAAGGACATTGATTTTCCAAACCTATCTTCCCTACACTTATTTCCCCGGACCTCCTCATACCTCCCTTCTTTGTATTCCAGTTCAATTTGTTAGTTCAGCAAATCCTTACCATTAAACTTTTACCCAATTGTTAACCTTTTTTTCATATCTCTTAAAGCATTACAGCTAAAAACCTCTTAGTTTCTATCCAACATCCTTCTAAGATTCCTTAATTTTTGCAATATTTCTGTAAATAGTCTTTAAATTTCTTCCAGTCTTCTTTCACCGACTCTTCTCCCTGGTCTCGGATTCTGCCAGTCATTTCCGCCAATTCCATGTAGTCAATCACCTTCATCTGCCATTCACCTTCATCTGCCATCGCGGCTCTTTTGTTTTTGTGACTGCGCGGAATCCGGTTCAGCTACTGATGGATCAATTGTGTGACTGCAGTACACTGCTTATTGCTTTCGTTTTATGGCTCAATGGTCTCGTTTAGATAGTAAAATTCAAGTCAAGCTGCTGTTTTAGGGGCTG